TCTTACAAACTGACACAGACCCAGATCTGCCAGCACATTTTGTGACAGCAGATTTTTTTTTCTGCAGTTGGACTCATCTTACAAACAAAGTATATACAGTAGTGTAGAACTAGACCCAAAACATCTTAATGTGCCAACATATAAGGTTTTATGTGATTATTTCCACAACAATCCCTGAACTGACAGCTTGAAAAGAAATATAAGCAATAAATATTCTCCTAAATCAAAGCATGTGTTATTACATTTCCTGTATATAATCAACTGGATACAAATGTTATGTTCATAACCCAATCTAAAGTAATAAGCAACAAGTTCTTAACAGTGAGCTGAACACTTGACTCTTGCAAACGTTATTCATGAGTTAAAACTATGAATTTTCAAGTCAATTAAATCATATCACTTTTCACATCATTGTGTTACTATACTTCTATTTAATTCTTATAACTTTAGTTCACTGTGCCCATGATATAACATGAAGTCATGTCAAACAAAAGGTCATGATTAACACTGGCCCATAATCTGACATTGACATAAGTCCTGTCAAATATAGGTCAGAGATTGATATTGACCCATGATATGTCATGAAGTCCTTTCAAACATAAGTCAGAGTTTAAAAATGCACCATGACATGACAAAGTTCTGTCTAATATATGTCAAAGATTAAAATTGATCATGATATGACATATGACAAAGTTCTGTCAAGTATGGGTCAGGGATTATTGCTGGCACATGATATGACATGAACTCCTATCAAACATAGGTCAATGATTAATGCTGGCCCATGATATGAAAAGAATTCCTGTCAAACACAGGTCAGGGATGAACACAGGCACATCAGATGGCAATGCCCATATTAGTGATGTAACATGAACTTGTGCTGGACTTTGTTGCCATCATTCAAACAACAGATCAAATGGATTTACACAGTTGTATAATTTCAAATAATAAATTTACTATTTTTTATTCTTTAAAAGTATTTTTCAAATCAGTCCCCATTCAAATTCTTATAATACAGTCATCTTGCTTATACAAATTTGGGATTTAGCAAATTTTTTTGGATATACAGATAGAATCTGTAATGACCTGTAATAAATTGTGGAGTCAGGATATAAAATGATAGTTATCTCCCTTTCACCACCGAATTGCATCATTATGTCAGTGGTGTTCATGTGAAAGAGGAGATAATTACTGTAGGATTAAAAGTCTGTTTTTTTAAAATCTAAAAAAAAAAGACACCACATCATGAAACCTAATTTGCCAATGCATTATACAACTGCATATATGGATCTAACTTTTTGAGAATTATGTATGTGTTACAAGTAAATAAAATATATTCAATGTTTTGGGGCTTCGAATAACTCTTAATTAAACAATTCCCGTAACACCCTACCCATCCAATGTGAATAACATGGAATCATGACAGGAATATGTTTAAACTAACTGATAGCAATTTTCCTTATAATACATGTATCTTTTGCCAGCAGACATCAGTTGCTATGTTTTATGACATTTCTAGCCTGAAACAATGTGAAAACAAGCAGCTATTTAAAATTGCAATCAATTCGATATAAAAGGTTTCAATAAAATATTTTCATTGCCTATAAAAACTACATCACTATAAAAGTCAATTAAACAGTAGAAAATTATATATCTGCTTCAAACACTGACAATAACTGTTAACAACAAAGAATTTCGGCATAATGACTGACAAAATTTTGTAAAGTTCTATTTGAAAAGTTTACTTTACAAACTGCTTCACATAATCTGTGAAAAAAACTCGATGAAATTCTAACATCTACTTCATAGTTTGTAACTAATAATCTAAAATTAGAGTTACTTTTTCATATTGTGCAGTTTTTATTACATTTAGTTCTTTCAGAATAATAACAATCAACTTTTTATCTTCCAGCCACTTCATATGTCTTTCAGTAAAATAACTGAAAAACTTGGAATAAGTACAGAAGCATTAACATTCTATAGTGATTTTCACCATCTTACAGAAATCAGGTTATCATCCACAATCCATAACAACATTGTTGACAAAACAAGTTTCTGGTGGGGCAATGACAGAAAACAGCAGGATTTATCACCATGCAGTTTATGCCTTTATCTGCACATTTTCTCAAGGATCTTGACCCATATGGATTTAACAATTGCTATCTTAGTTCATATGGATTTAACACACTACCATTTTAGCCCATATGGATTTAACACACAACCATCTTAGCCCATATGGATTTAACAGACTGCCATCTTAGCCCATATGGATTTAACACACTACCATCTTAGCCCATATGGATTTAACAGACTGCCATCTTAACCCATATGGATTTAACACAATGCCATATTGGTCCATATGGATTTAACACACTACCATCTTAGCCCATATGGATTTAACACACTGCCATCTTAGCCCATATGGATTTAACACACTGCCATCTTAGCCCATATGGATTTAACACACTGCCATCTTAGTCCATATGGATATAACACACTACCATCTTAGTCCATATGGATATAACACACTACCATCTTAGCCAATATAGATTTAACACACTACCATCTTAGTCCATATGGATTTAACACACTACCATCTTAGTCCATATGGATATAACACACTACCATCTTAGTCCATATGGATATAACACACTACCATCTTAGTCCATATGGATATAACACACTACCATCTTAGTCCATATGGATTTAAAACACTACCATCTTAGTCCATATGGATTTAACAGACTTCCATCTTAGCTCATATCGATTTAACACACTGCCATATTGGTCCATATGGATTTAACACACTGCCATATTAGTCCATATGGATTTAACACACTGCCATCTTAACCCATGTGGATTTAGAACTAAATGAAGCAACTTTTTGAGCATTTGTAATTACAGAACATAAATCATTAACAACATTCTTTTGACTCCAGCCCCATTATCATGTAGAGTATGAAACTAAGCTAACTTGTTTTTTATATGAATAGAGATAAAATGGCATTGCTGACTTTTACTTGGGTAGCTCTGAGCAATCTTTAAATTTCTAAGCAGCATCTTTTTGGTCTATGTGCACAATTTCTATGAAATAAAACAAATAAACCTTCTAAAAAGATAAGTTTGTTATATTTTTGGAGTGTTCTCAGTTTTACCCATTAGTTTCAAGAACAGTAGTATAATACCAAAATGTACATTCACATACCCACCATTAGATAAAAACTATCCATTTTAATTTACAACTTTTGCACCAAAGACATATTCTGGCTATTCTCTGGAAAATCAGAACATGTATTATTAACTCATTAACCCCTGGTGCCATATTAACATGGCAGGAGGTGTTAGGTTACTTCTGAGCTCTGTAGCTTCAAGGTCATAATAATGTGGGTGGTATTATACAAAGGTAGACAAATGTAGCTTTACAATGATACCAAATAATATGGATGGTCTAGTTGCACTACAAAATACAGCAGGGTAAAACAACTTTTTGGACCAAAGTTTTTTTCAAGCTGAAATTTGCCTGAGGTCAGAATCCAATTCTGTTTCTGGATTTTAGTCTTTTTGACCTCAAATTAAGATAGACCAGTCTGAACTGCACAGACAGGTGAACCTTTGCAAAAAGTAGGATAAGATGGGTATTTAGAATGAAGAGTGGTCTCAACACAAAAAAATGATAGGTCCATTTAGCGAAAAAGAAAAGTCCAACTTTTACCTTTCTGCTCATTCTGAGGCAAAACAGCCAATGAAAAATGATGTTTCTAACACAAATAGTCATTAGGTTAACCTAAAATGACTTACAAGTTGATGTATTAGGATGTATTCAGAAATAGCCTCCAAAATGGAATTCCTACATGCATTTTAGAAAAAAAAATGAAAAAAACCTCCAGGGGTTAATGAATTATGGAACACAATAAAAGGCTGAGAATTCATAAAAGATAAAGCAATCTTCTTTTGGATCATAACATGTACTGATATCTACTTGTACAGTAGAACCACTTTGATAAGTTTCATATAAAATGGACCTGACTGAAAAGTTTATACATACATTGTTCACATAACAGGTCATAGCATTTAAAAATGAATAAATCTGTACACTGGAAACCTGGTCTCTCAAGACAGGTGGGGTTTTTTTTCAAAACAGTTGTCTTTCAAGGCTGGTTTTACTGTAAAACCTGTGCAAATGTGAATTCCAAATAACTTTATCAAAAAAACAGTTTCTTTCTTTCATAGATTATAAGAACAAAAGTTGATTCTATATTTTAAATCAATATTTAAAACTGAAAAATAAATTAACCAGAACATAATCAGCTATTATTTAGCTAGCCTTTACAAAGTATTTGATAGTGAGTCTCAAGCAAACAATGTAACATTAAATATCATGTAGAAAATAAATTCAGTATAAAGTGAGCTTGAGAACAAAGAGTAGGCCCCTTTTTCTAACAAACTCTTTTGCAATATTTTAATGGCCCCTTTTCTAACAAGCTCTTTTGCAGTATTTTACCTTTACCCTTTCAGACCTTAACCTCAACTCAATACTCTAGCCATTGTTGTGCAGATGTGTCATACATACATACATACATACATACATACATACATACATACATACATACATACATACATACATACATACATACATACATACATACATACATACAAATAAACAAACATACATATATATGAAATAAAACAAAACATAAAACAAAAAAAAAAGAAAATTCTTTTCAATGATATCAAATCAGAATTACTGCATTAAGTGGATAGAAACCTGGGATTTTGTTCTTTTTTATTTCAAAAATAAATGTTGTTCTTCAGAAGCAAATTCAATTGACCTGAAGAGAGTAACTTATAACAATATACAAATAGTAGTCATTGATACTGAAGGTCCAGCACTAAATAAACAATGTCAAAATGCATAGGTCAGAAACAGACATATGCCTAGGATGTATACAGCTTGGACAAATCTTGGTTGTCATGAGTTGATCACAAATATATATCTTTACAAAGCTTTGGTGTCCTAGTGGTTAGAGCATCCGCCTCAGATGTGGGAGGTCATAGGTTTGATCCCCAGCTGTGTCATACCAAAGACTTTTTTTTTTTTTTTACGAAAATGGTACTAACAGCTGCCTCATTTGGCGCTCAGCATTAAGATGTTAGTGTTAGGACTGGTTGGCCTGGTGTTAGGATAATGTGACTGGGTGGGACATCATGCTATATGTCTGCGGCATGATGCCCCTGTGCTTAGACATCAATAAAATATAAAATCACTTTAAACTACCACACTGAAGACAGTGATATGACTGAAAAATTGCTAAAGCTACATTAAAAATCCAAATCACACAGACACACACATACAAAGCATAGAATGTACATAATATATTTTTAGATGTCCTTCTTGGGCTGATTGTGTGCAGTACAGACAGTAATGCATCAATAACAACAATCCATGATTCAAACATAACAGCAACCAATAAATGAGTTAAACAAATTCAACCAAATCACTTAAGCATGAAATATAGATTACAGAAACCTCTTTTGCAAAAAGTGTTTAGCACTGATCAAGCTGCATCACTGAACCAAGTTTTAATTCAAGAAAAGATAATATGTACACAGAATGTCAAACATTCTGGTGGTCATGAGCTTAAATACACAAATGTAACAAAAGATAGTGAATAATTAAATATAGGTCACATTGAGCTCCTTTTCATGCACGGTTGTGATACTAAAAGAGATGTATATTACTATGATTCCAGAATGAATAATGCCTCATAAAGACCTACTACTGATAAAGATGAATCCCATAATCAAGTTTCAAACTTCTAGATCAGACAGTAGGCACACAAAAAGCAAATACAATCTATGTGGTCAAGACCTAAACCAAAATTTAACCAAAGGCAGTAACATGTGAAATGTTGGTCTCAGTGACCTTTATATATGGGTATAATACTAAATGATAAATATACAATTATGTACTTTCAAGGAATCTTGAATAAACAGTAAAAGCACAAAATTTTAACAAAGTAAGTGAAGCATACAATATGGGTAACAGTACTTTTGTGATGGTATTTATCAAGATGCATCCATTCATAAAGTTTCATGATTCCATTATGACAGTGCATACACAGGATGCAAAAAAATCCTATCGTCATAAGTTGAGAAAGGATATTTGTACCATAAGCCCATAAAATATGAAATTTAGGTCACAGTAGTTTTTGGAGTAAGGGCATAATATTAAGAGAGATGCAGATAATCATCTAGTCATAAGAGTCTAGCATGAGAAATATACTTGAAAATTTCACCCAAGTTAATCATGCAAGAAATATTGATCACAGTACCCTACTTCTATGATAAGGTGTAGTACTCATCAAGATACAAAGTCAAAATATTTACATGTACAAAGTTAAGCCACTCTTCCATGGCTATGTATTATGAAAACCATTTCGAACTGTAGCCTAGGATGATAGAATGAAAAACCCACAGTGTGGCTGAACTGTGTGGATGCTGATGCTTTATAATCTATCCCCTTACTTTGTAGAAGCAAGCTAAAAATTAAAATTTAAAATCAATGTTTGAACCTATAACAAGCTTTAATTCTTCATAAATAAGAGGCTTGTAAACCAAACAAAAATAACACATGTACATTAAGAAAAAAAAAACAACATTTTGTGACACCTATCAGTGCATTACACACACACACACACACAATCTGCTGTCCTATATTGTTATAGTCAATTTAGATCCACACAATTTGCTTGAAATTATTGCAGGAAATTATTTCTGAACTCTTTTTCTGCCTGTGAACTTTGAGCTACTGGGACATTATTTGACATAGCTGGCTGTTACTTGCTCAAAATATAGAAATCTTAAGATAAACTCACTTCAAAATGCAATCAAAGCCAAATAAATTTTTAACTATGTACACATCTACTGAACACTACAAGCAAAACACATACAAAATATAAACATTCTATTAGAAAAAAGAACAACTTTAGTCATATTTGTGCTGAAATTTGCTGAGGCACATATTTCATAGTAAATGACTTTGAACATCACAGGAATAAATGTACATTGTCATAATTTGTTCATAATCCTGTGAGTAGAAATACGACATATGTGAGGAGTAAAATGTCAATCAAGCTAACTAAAGTTCCTAATGTGGAATACATTTCTTTTACCCCTTCTGGAGCCCCACAGCAGTCCCAGCCTGTCTTGGAGGCTCCATATGGGGAAAAAAATTATTATTTTTCCTGGCACCAAGTGAAACATGATTTCACAAGAGCCAACTTGTATTGCAATAATAGATGCAAAGTTTTAGTATACATTCTTTACTACATTGAATACTTATCAAGATAATGTATAATAATACGCGAGAAACACACTGTAATCACAGTATTCAAATTGGCAGCTGCCAAGATTTAAGGAAAATGATAGATAAAAATTACCCTTAGATACATTTATATTCAAGTTTTATATACATCCTTAATTTATCAGAAAATGTGCAAATCTGAGACATAAAAACTTGTAAAATGCATTATAGTGTGACCCCGCTATAGCATGCTCCATCATAATACATGTTTAGATATGAGATGGTCATGGCATGGCTCCTGAAATTTCATATGTAGTTTTTGCTTAAAAGTACAAAAAATAATGTGTAAAAGTTTACTATCATTTTGAGGAAGAGATCTAATATGAATTCTAACATAAAAAGATTGTGTCATGGCTATTGAAATGTGTATGCATGTATTTTTCTCACACACGAAAAAAAATTCTAATTTAAAGTATGAAAAATAATGTTAAAAGTTTTTTTTAAGGATTGCATTTGGCTTACCCAATGTTGCAGATTTTGATTTTTTTTTTCTTTTTGGCTAAAAAGTTTACCATCTGGCAATTTATTTGAGACAACCTTGTTAGCTGTTTAAACATGTCTATACAATATTGGGTTTGGAGTGGAGAAATTCAAATGCAACATGAAAGAAAGCTGCAAAACTTGGGATATAAAATGCATTGGAATCTATCTATTGTCACATAAATGAATCCTTTGCTCATGTTGACAAAGCATCTTAACAGTGCATTGTTACATCATAATTCTCTTATGCCAATAAACGAGAACTGTATGTTGCTGATACAATCAAACAGTCATGCTATCAGACTAGATACAATCAATCAACCAACCTTTAAAAGCTGGAACAGGAACAACTACAAATGACCAAACAACAGTTAATTTTATTTAAGTTACCCAGAAAACATTTTTTGATGAAAGTTCAAAGATATTGATTACCTTTAAAGCACCGATTATTCTGTATAGTTACTTAGCAAGAGAGAAAAACTGTCCCAATCAATGTTCTAAAATTATTTGTTGTCGCCGCCAGAATAACAAATAGGCACTTGTTTGGTCCTCCAAATTTGTTCTGTAGCGGTGACTTCAATAATACATGCACCCTTCATCAAAGCAAGCCAACTACAATCTTCAATAAAAATAAAGCGTCTTTCATCAAAGGAAGTCAGCACCTAACAAATAAATACAAGGGAATTTGATGGAATCTTGCATTTTCCAAGGTAACCTGAAGATATTTATTGGATAATGAAAATTTCCCTTTTGCAGGAAAAATATTTATGCTCAAGATTGCTACTAAATGTGGTATACAAGGCAAAAATTAAATATCAAGTTAATTTTAAATTTGTTCACATTTTTTATATCTCTACAAATAGCCGTATCACTTGGGTATCCTCCACAAGGTGACTGTCATTTCCAGCTGATCAAAATCTAGGCCTGTTTAAGTACATGAACATGTATTATGCAAACAACTGTAACCATGTGCTACTGGCAACAATATCATAGTGAATTGTTCAATTACATAGGTTTGTTGACAATGGCATACAGATCAAAGAGGACTACCATTCTTTATATTATCTTGTTTTCTAATAGGATGTGACTGATACATTAATTTTACAACATGTGATCTATACTCAAATTCATGGATTTATCATACACATATTCAGTACTTAATGCAGTATGAACAATACTATATAAATGCAAGTTGTCAATACACAAGTGTATTTCAGATTAGTTTTGTCTTCATTTAATCAAAAGTGTATAGTTTTGTGCCCACTTCTATTACCCACCCACCCCAAATCTAGTTTTGGTACATGCATCATTTTCTAAAACTAACTGACCTGGTTTCTTATAACATTATCTCGTTCTATAGACTCAAATTACCATGTTAGAGCAAGGGGTCACACTGTGTATGAATACAATGAACCTTGTCAAAAGTACTTGCTATTACGAATTCCCTGATATAACAAACACTGAACATGAAAGTCTTTTTTTTTTACACAGTGATTATAGTCAAAATTTCATTAAAATGAATGATTAAAAGAGACATGTGATTGTTTGTTATAACAAGGATCTACATTCTAGAGCTAATAGGGTGCATGGATAATGGCAATGCAACTACTGCTCCATTGAACCAGCTGCCATACAAGTCTTAATTATTCTTCATTCTGTGCAGGATTTTTATGCTAGAGAAAAAAAAAACATATTCCTCACATGTCACACCTTTTTCTCTACAACACAATATCAAAAATACTATACAGTATAAATAATACTGCACAAAACTCAAAAAACACCAGGTTATCAAGAATAAATAATGCTACACAAGTATCAAGAATACTATACAGTATAAATACTACTACACAGTATCAAGAATACTACATTGTATTAAGAATACTACACAGTATCAAAAATACTGCATAGAAGCAAGAATACCAGAGTATAAAGAATGCTACAAAGCATCAATAATTGTACAGTATCAAGAATACTACACAGTATTAAGAATACTACAGTATGAATAATACTACAAAGTATCAAGAATAATAAACAGTATCAATAATACTAGAGTATCAAGAATACTACACAGTATCAAGTACACTATGCAGTATTAAGACTAGAGTATCAATAATACTACATAGTATCAAGAATAACATGCAGTATAAAGAATACTATACAGTATAAAGAATACTATACAGTATAAAGAATACTATGAAATCCTTTATGAATATCAATTCTTGTAGCTTTGTGAAAATGACCTTT